TTTTTAAATCCTTTCATGTTCTTCAGTTTTATGCAGGATTCAAAGCAAGTCCTGAGAAAAAAAATGCTCAGATTGAGGCCTTGATCCCATGATCCCTTATACGAATGGATCAACTGAGTTGCATTAAGAGGAAATGTCCTGTAAGGTAAAATTACTTGCTAACTACGTGCACATTCACGTCCCCTAACTCCTACAGGTAAAACAAACCTAGATGGAATAAAACTTGCCTTTATGCTGCTCAAAACACTTCCAAGACTGTATTGCAGCTGCTGAACACATCATTCAGAGCAGTAATTTATGGAGTGTCTATCTTAATCCAAGCGATCTGCAGTAATTCAAACCTGTATCTGTGTATTTTGCCATAGGCAAATACATTACTTTTGGCTCCGAACAAACCTCCCACTCTTCTACTAAAAAATGCTGCAGGAAGAGCAGAGAGCGCTATGGATATGCCGTTCTGAATGAAAAGATGTATGAAAATGATATTTCTCTAACACAGGAAGTCAGAAGGATTTTGATCATGTGTTACATTATTCTTTGCAGATACCCATTCACTTTCCTTACCCTTCCGGACACAGTTAAAGCCCCCCAAGCCGTGTTTGCAGCAGGAGCCCAAGCCTGTGGCTTTGTCTGCAAAGGGCATGTGTGGTACTTCCAGGGATGCTCGGAGAGTTAACGTGGGCTCCGTGGAGCAGCCGCGCTGGGACAAGGACCCGGCTGCTCCTGTGCAGCCACTTTTGTGGCACGCAGGTGTCCTCTCCGGACACGCTGGGTCGTTCACAGGGGAGATACATACAGAGAGAGCAATAAAAATATATGGTTAGAGATAGATAGATGTGGTGGCCTGTGATGGGACAAGGGACAAAAATAGGAAGTTCCATCTCCATATGAGGAAGAACTGCTTTCCTGTGAGGGTGCCAGGGCCCTGGCACCGGCTGCCCAGGGAGGCTGTGGAGTCTCCTTCTCTGGAGATCTTCCAAACCCGCCTGGATGCCACCCTGTGCCCCGTGCTCTGTGTGTCCCTGCTGGAGCAGGGGGTTGGACTAGGTGATCTCTAGAGGTCCCTTCCAACCTCAACCATTCTGGGATTCTGCGAGATCCGTTGGATCCCAGCTTTGGGCCGCCTCCTTATGCGTTACATTGGATGACCCCGTCTCGTGGGCTGAAACTCTTGCCTTGGCACAGCATCCTGGGCGCTGCTGGGCTGCTCTGGCCGCTGGCCAGTCTCGGAGGCTCTGGGAGCAGCTCGGGCAGGATTACATGGCGGCCTGGATGCGCTCACGTTTCCCAGCTTATGCTCTTCTGTCATCCCAAAGGAGCACGTAGGCGTGCAGGGAAAACCCTGGAGTCACCCCAAGACACCCGGGCAGAGTCGAAGGGCGGCAGCACGGCGACAGGCAGCACCCTGCCCGGGTACGCCCGGCACGGAAGCCATTCCACGGGGAGCGCCCGGCAGCGCGGCCAGGAGCGGCTCCGCTGCCACCGCTCGCGTCGCTGACGTGCACGAGAACTGCCCTGAAACACAGCTCGTCACGCTGGGTTTCTCTGCGTTTTAAGGTTTTTTTCTCCCTGTTTCAAGGACGCTTGCAAAACAAAGATTGCAAACGGTGTTAGCTAAGCAATGAAAGCTACGGTTTGTGAAATCACTTTTGGTTTCTTGAGCTGCTGAAGGCGCAGAGCACCCTGGAGTTTCTCAGGCTGAATATCCACCTTTGGGTGACTGTATTTTACACAAACTGTGGTTTTTTTTTTTTTTTTTTTTTTTTTTTTTTTTTTTTTTTTTTGGTTGAACATACAGTGCTCAGATATTACAGCTAAAGAAATACAAAGGTAGCAATTTATTTTTGCCCAGAATGCTATTTGGTCAACAAAGTGGATATTGTCTGGTTTTCTCACGTAAGCTGTAATATTACATAGCAAGTGCCCATACATTTATTGACTTATCTATAAAATTTCTTTTTTTTTTTTTTTTTTAAACCATAGAAATAAGAAGTCCTTTCTCCTATTTTTACTGGAAGACGTCTTGGAGATTTAGAGAACTGTGAAGTTACCTAGCAAAGTAGAGGAAGAGTTTTAAATACCTCTCTTAGTGTTTGCCAAATGGCAGAGTTAAATACAGACCAACAAAAGCTTTTTTTTTTCTTTCTTTATGCAGAGAATACCTTATTATACATCTCCTAATTACTAAAAGTAACCTCCCTTGATGATGGTGTCACTTATTTTTAGTCATCCAAGGATACCAGAGAATTATCCAAGGGAGACAACTTTGGAGGAAGTACAAATTCCAAGTTCTCCAACAAGAATACAAAGTCCAACTCTGCCTTTGCCATGCTTTTTATCCTTCGTAAAGATGTACTTTTCATCTCATGAACGATTTTGAAGGTATTTTCACAGAAAATCACACTGCATCCCCATTCAGGTTCACCTCAAAGGCTACATATAGGCAGAAAGGTAGGCTGATAGAGGGGTTTTTATCTGAGATGTAACTGATATCTTGTCAGCAATTTGGGATAGAGGCTATTAAATCTAGGTATGGTCTCTCCAGGAACACAGAGGTGTCAGGAAAGGTGCATATTCCTCAAGCGCAAGGTATGTATGGATTCAAATGGTTGAATCAAAGTTTATGATTTCAAAAGGTTTGTCTAATGAATGGAATTTAAGGTATCAGATAGATATAAACCGAGATATCCCGGTGTGCGGTTGATGCTTTATTTCGGTACGAGCCTTCGCCATGAGCCCTTTCCTGAAGTTTCTTTCCTCGGCGGCCGAACCCCACGGCCACGCGCGCTGCGCGGCCCCCACCAGAGCGTGGGGCGCCGGCATCGCCGCTTTAAGGCGCGGGCGCTTGGCGGGCGGTGCGCGCTGCCCATTGGCTCCGCGGCGCCGCCACGCGGCGCTGGGATGGCGGCCGCCAGCGCCGCGGCGGCGGCGGGACATGTTCTTAAAGCGGCCGGCGGGCGGCCTCGCCTTCTGCCTCTTCTACGTGGCCTCCTGCTTCACCAACAAGGTGAGGACGGGGAGCGACGTCGGGTCCCCCCGTAACGGCCCGGCCTGGGGCATCCCGTCCCGTGGCATCCCGTCCCGTCCCGCCGCTGCGGCCCCGGGAGGCGCAGGGCGAGGGCGGGAGGGTCGCTCCGGGGCGGGGACACGATTATATATGTGTATATATATGTGTTATATATGGATATATATATTTATAATTTTATTTTTGGAGGGGCTGGGGGAAGGCCCGGGGCGGCAGGACCCCCGCTCGCCGTCCTGGCGGCGGAGCGGCCCCACCTCGCCTCCTGCTTCCTGGGGAGGCTTTTTCACCCTTCCTCCCTTGTTTCTGTTGGGGAAAAAATAATCAATAACGGAAAATTGGAGTGTTTGAGGCTGCCGACAAAGATTTAGTTGGGCCCGGGGTTTGTTGGGCAGCGCTCCCGGCGGGTCTGGGCCTGACTGCATGCCAGAGTGCAGGGCTTTATTTCCCATTAGCTATCAGTTGTGAAGAATTCACTGGAGAAATGCTCTTAACCTGGAACCCAGCCAAGAGAAAAATCTTCAATCTTCAAGGTATTGCACCAGCACTTAAAGAAGTAGTAACCTACACTGCTCTCTACAGCAGTCTAGCCTCTGAATTAACAACAAGAAATAATTTCCACTGTGCAACCTAATTGGCATTGCTGAAAAACCTAGGTAGAAGCAGAAAGAAAAGTGGACAGAAAATAGCCACTTGGTGGTAGCTTAAATAGTTGGAGCTAGGTTTTTTTTTTTTTTTTTTTTTTTTTTTTTTTTTCCCGCTATAATAGGATGGTCATTAATGTTCAGGGTAGATAGATGTCTGACTAGAGTGTCAGTCGAGAGTGTGATTCCCCTCGCGGTCAGTGGAGAGACATCAGCACTCAAGGGAGCAGCCAAAACCTTAACTTAGGTTGTGGGAATAGATATTCCCACAGGGTTTTTGTTGTTGTTCTCTTGCCAATTTTCCGGTGAGTTGTTGGTGTTTTTGTAAGAGTGGCACTTGCAGTGAAAATAGTCGTAGGTAAAACCACGGAAATCTGAGGCACTTCAGTGAAAATTATTGACGCCTGTGGGTTAAATGAGTTGTAAAGGTTACTTCTGAGATGTCTTATTGCAAACTAAAAACCTGATATAGTAGCTGCTTTTTCCTGTCTTATATATCAGAGCACATGTTCCTGATGCAGATTTTGGAAAGATGTTTTTGAAGCAAGCAGGGAATGGATTTCAGCTTCCCCCTTCAGCTTCAGAGGAATACAGCTTCCCCCACCACACACACACACACACACACACACACACACACCCCCCATAGATGAGTGAAGTCTCTTCTGTGTGCGGACTGCTCATTTGTGTCCGGACATAAAGCAAAGTTCACAGGAAGAAATAATGCACTTGGTTTGTCAGACTGGTAGAAGTGATTCATAACAGAGAGACTGGAACAGCTGTCAAATTGTATCATGAGTTGGAAAAGACACTTAGCTTAACTGAACTTAAGAGGAAGCTGGAAAGACTTGACATAGGGGCTTCCTGCTCAACCCTCTTTGAAACTTGAGTGTATATTTTAATGTAACAAGGTTAAAATAAGCAGAGTAGCAACTTACAGTTGTCCCAGCTACTGTGTAAGTGCATGTGGGATGTAGACACACACAAATATATCATCTTCATTTAAAACTCAAGTGCCATCCACAAGGGCATGTAGTAGGGGTTCTTGTGAGTCAACATGCCTTGTCCCCGTGTATGCTGAGGTCCCCTCTTTAGTGACACCTGAAGATGAGGCCTTGCGAGGTGCTTTGCTCCATGTCCTCCCTGAAAGCCTAGAGCTTCCCCCCTGCCTTTGAGGACGGCTGCCTGCTCCTAGCAGGAATAGCAGGGTACTTTTTTCTGTCCTCCAGGGAAGTCTCAGGCATCATCCTCCCTTGTAGGGCCGCTCTCCCTATACTTCAGCACAAGAAGTTAGACCTTGTTGTAGTACATAAAGCGTCATAAAGCGTCAGCTCTGTCCTATTTGCATGTGTGGATGATGCACAGCAGCGAGAAAGGACCCTAACATCTATAAACACGGAGCCTGTCACAGCCTGCTGAAGCAGAGGCTGCAGAGCGCAGCAGCTCCAGAGAGCTTTAGAGACACTGCTGGTGTTTTACGTGACACACTGTGCTCATGGGCTGCTAGGGCTGCGAAATGAAATAACTAGCAGGAGATGGTTATGTTCAAGTTCTCAGGTTCTGATCCTGACAAAAATTGCCTCTGCTGCCTGATGCAATTGTGGCTGACAAAAACTTGTATTTTGTTGTTGTAAAAACTTTTCCAATCAGTGCAAAATATTGATTATGCTCAGCAATTTAGCGGGTAGCCCTGTCCTCATCATTCAGTGTATCCACTCCGTTTTTCCTGTACTTGAGTGCCAGCTACCTTGCACAGTGCCTGGGGAAGTATCCAGCAGCCCTGGCATGGGAAGACAAATGTCTGAAAGTTTTCGGAGTCTCCTTTCTTGTTTATTTACTTTTTTTAAATTTTGCTTTATTCTGGTAGGAGCTTCTTGTATTTCATTCCTTCATGATTGTTGATGTTTTAACACCATGGTTGTTTAATGTCCATTAATTTGGATTTGTTTTCCAGTATGTCCTGTCTGTCCTGAAATTTACCTACCCTACCCTTTTTCAAGGGTAAGTACAACTTAAAAAATACATTTCAAAAATTCATTTGGAAAATGACTCTCATCAGTAGCTATATTGCTGTTCCCTGCTACAGCAGTACTCCATGACATTACTGGCTTTTGATGTCTGGAGAAAATACTTTATTACAAAAACTTAGTAAGATGTTAGTTGTCTGGATTGGTTTCGAAACATTATGCTGGTAATGTATTTAAGAGATAGAGATTCTTCATAATTTCTGGATTTTCTGGAGGTTTTATGCTTCAGTGTTGCAAAGTGGCAATTACAGTACAGCCTGTCTTTGGAAATGGAACATAAAGTTAACGTCCAGGTGTGGCCTATTCTCCTTCACTGTGCTAATGAATAAACAAACAACTCTTTAGGTGAAAATAAGCAAGGTTGTACACCTTGCTTGGTTGCATGGTATATGACCGTGCTTAGTTTCATGCTTAGTCTATTTGCTGTATCTCTATATGGTAAGTCACAAGCATATCTTAATGACTGTATTGAGAAATGTAGTATTTGGCCAAATATCTGTTTGTAGTGTCAGAGCTGTTACTAATTTGAGACCCTTAGAATTGCATGTGGATTTTTACAGCCATTTGCTCTTTTGGTATATGGGTAAGATCCACGCACGCTGGATGGTGCTGAAGTTCTGTCCTACTGCTTAGCATGGCTTGTAATTTTTTGCCTGCCTTCGAGCCTCAGGACTGTGATCTACCCTGAGAGTAATTCCCTAGGAAAATCTCCATTTTCCTCGGGTGCATTTAAGTCTATTAAATCTGTACTGAATGTTTTCTTCAGTTTGCTCATGTATGTATACAAATTCTCTTGGACAAGACTTACCATATGGGGAAAGCTTTGAAGGAGTGTGTGTGAAGGCAAAAGTAAAGGTAAAAAGTGTGGTAAGTCAAGAAGCAAAACCTACTCATTCAATGGCATGCAATTGCATTGTGCTCCCGTATTATCACTGTTATTTCCTTTTTCTAATATTTGAAAATACTTTTCCACCTATCTTTTTCAGATGGCAAACCTTAGTTGGTGGACTGCTGCTTCATGCCTCCTGGAAGCTGGGGTGGGTGGAGATAAGCTTGGCTTCAAGGTACGGTGGGAACCTTCAGTATCTGCCAATATTGCCTTCCTGCAGCTGCCCTATGGTATAGGTGGGTTGGCTATGGGAGATAGTAGCTTGCTAAAACTACTTGCTAAGATTGTGTGGGGTTGTGTCTGTGTATTTGGCATTGCAAGTATGTGATTGATCCTGTGTTACAGTCTAATGTTCGGAGAAATTTATTAATATAAAGTGGATTAAAATTGACCTTAGTATGGTGATGAAAAAATGTTTTACCATCAGTGGCATGGGGATAATTTATAAGGTATTTGTCTACTGTAAACGTTCCCTTCCTGAGTTATGGTATCATAAGAGACACCTCAGCTATGTTAGGTAAAGGGTATACAGATGTGGTCCTCTCCATGGAATGTGGTACTGCCTTTTTCTTGTGCAAAATGTCTTCATCCCTGGAGATGCTCAAAACTGGACTCCTGACTGGGTTATGCCCTGAGCAGCGTGACCTAACTTTGGCGCTGGGGATGGGACTAGATGACTGCCAGGGTTCATTTCTAATTTTTTTTTCTCCCTCTTGTAATTCTATATTGGCTCCTGGCAGCTGATGGATTTTTCAGTTTGGGATTAAAGCAGTTGATTTGCAAGACTGACATTTCTCATTTAAAATGAATGCTTTGTGCCTGCATGTGTGTATAAAGAACCAGGCCAAATTTTGTTTTTTTCTGGACATGTATGTTTGTACATCATGCTTGGGTTTCAAGTGAAGTTGTAAACAAAAACAGAGTTTATTCTCCTGTCTCGAGTGCTGTTTAGATAAAATAGGGCTCTTGGAGCAAAAACTCTCATGAACATAAATAGAAGTAGAATTAAGATACCGAATCTTGCTTTAATGCCAATTAGTGAAATATATTCTTAGGAAGTTTTTATTATTCATGCATAATTTGTCCTCACAGTACAGCCACAGGACAAAGGAATACAGCTGTCACTAATGTCCTTTTTAATTCAGTTTTCATTGCTGCTTGAGAAACTATTTTTGCTTTCTTGAAGCTGTTTGGTTTTTTTCTCTTTTCAGATTGGAAAGCATTTTTATGAGAAATCCTAAAGCAAAATAGAAAAGTCTGTTTTTCCCAAAAGCTGAAATACCATAGAGAAAATATTGGGCAAGAACCATTCCTTGCTATGGAAGATGTTATTTGGTTAAGAAATACTTTGATGAAAAAACACTTTGTTTTGAATACAGCGACTTCAGGCCACTAGATGTCCGTATAACATAGGCAAACGGGTTAAAATAAGCAGCCTTTGGGAACAGGAGCGTTCTGTACTAGCTACATGTGAAATTACATTACCAGGTTTCATTCGCATCTTTTGGTTGTAATTTGGCAAAGTTACTGATCAATATGTCTAAGAACCTGAGGGGTGAGTGTAGGGAGGAAGGGGCCAAGCTCTTCTCAGTGGTGGCCAGTGATAGGGCAAGGGGTAATGGGTGAACAAGTTGAAATGCAGGCAGTTCCATCTCCATATGAGGAAGAACTGCTTTCCTGTGAGGGTGACAGAGCCCTGGCACCGGCTGCCCAGAGAGGCTGTGGAGTCTCCTTCTCTGGAGAGCTTCCCAACCCGCCTGGATGCCGCCCTGTGCCCCGTGCTCTGGGTGTCCCTGCTGGAGCAGGGGGTTGGACTAGATGATCTCTAGAGGTCCCTTCCAACCTCAACCATTCTGTGAAAGTATTAAGTATTTACAGGTAAATGGTAAATTTACAGGTAAATTACAGGTAAATTTACAGGTAAACTTGCAGGGGAAACTATGCATTGACTTCAGTGGGCTTTGAATGTAGCCCTGCAGTGAGAAGCTGGTCAGTTGTGTGGTGTCCCCGAGATTGCTTTGCACGTGCACCTCTGGATTGCCCCCGTAAGGACCTGCTGACTGGTTCTGTACAGGACACATTGCAAGTGCTGAGGGCTTGTATCAAACGCTCATGCATTCTTTCCCAGGCCAGAAATTCTTCCTTGGTAGCATAAAAATCTGCTTTTATGTCATGAGAAAAGCATCCGAAGTCCTTTTCTATTACTCTTTATGTTACTGCACTGGAGATGGAGTCATATTTGGGATTCCTGCAACTAAATGGTTAGGACATGAAAAGGTGATGTTTTTATGGCTCAGCCATCCATCTTGTGTTCCCCTTTCCCGCCCTCCCATCCTTTTCTCCAATTTACTCCAGTTCTAGCAGGGATTAAGAGAGGGGATGTTGTTATTTTTGCTACTTGGGGTTTTGATCAACAATCTTAGGAAATCATAAAGAGAAAAGAAAGTGGTGTTTAAGCCTTTTCCCTCTTCCTATGTTTTTATAAAGCTTAAGCCTTTTGTTTGTTGGCTTTCTAATTCAGACTATTCTAGTTTTCTCTTTAGTGCTCTTTTGTTCTTGTTTTCTCTGAAATGTGATACCATAGTACTTATAAATGCATTTTGATTGTTGGTTGGAAAGATGATCCAAATTAAGAACCTGCAAACAATTTTGTTTTGTTCTGAGAACCAGCGTTATTTGCTAATGCTCCTGACTGTAGTTGAAAGCTTGGGAAGAGTTAGTGAGGGTGCCCAGCATCTTCAGCCTTTGGAACAGACTTTAATGTCATTTTCCTGACCTGCTCAGTATCTTGCATAGCTCCCTCTGAAGTTTGCAATCTCTCTGATCCCTCTTTTTCCCCTTAAGTGCTGAGGTTAACAAGGGAATGGTGCAAATCTTGAAGCCCAATCTCAAAACTGAAACGTGGCTGCAATTAATATCACTGAAACAAAAATCACATCAATCTGTGATGACTTCATTCCTCCATTAGTTGTCAAGCTGCCTCTAGAAGTTTGGCTTAGCCCAAGGAATATCATTAAGACATCTCAGGAGACAGGTTCCCGCAGAGACAACTTGATCTTTAGGAAGAATCTCCCTGTAAATCTGGCTGATAAATAAATGTGTGGGTGGGCAAGTGTATTTGTGCGTAGTGCAAATGCGTCCTGTCTGTGCAAGTGCACCACTTCATGCCTTTGTTTGTCTCGTTTTCCTCCTTTCACATCAAGGAAATCAGTTGAAATCTCCCTTTTAAAAGCAATGCCCATAATTGCTATGGAAGTGTGAAACAATTTTTGAGGGAGATAAGTGAGAGATAAAGTAATTTTCTAGTTCATATCTGTGGTGAGATTAGATCGTTCATTTCTATCTCGGAAACTTCTGTAGTAAGTGGGAGGAATACTGAGCAATGAGACACTGAATTTGTTATGCACACCTTTGGAAGAGATGTATGTGTGTACATGCAGTTGTGTTCCTTGTCAGTAAGCGATGTTCACTATGTGTAAGCAGAGCGTGGTGAAGTAATGGGATTTTAATTGTTTCCACAGGTCTGACATCCTGTCGTGGCTTCCTGCGTCAGCGCTTTTTGTGGGCATTATTTATGCTGGCTCCAGAGCCCTGTCCAGATTGGTAAGAAATGCACAAGTAGCACTCAGCTCTTCAGCAGTTGTGCTAAGGGCACAAGTTTAATGCTTGGGATTTAAGTAGCAAAACCTCTTAACTGTCCTAGAGTAGTGGTCTAGCCTAATGAAATGTGGAATAGTATCAAAGACGCAGAATAGCTTCAGATCTCCCTGACCTCAGCAAGAGGCACAAATACTCAGCATCTCTCCAGAGCACTGTTTTGTAGGACAGATCCTCAACGGTCTAAATTGTGCCAACAGTCAAGAAGCTGAAGAAGTTATGAGCTGTAACAGTTTGCAGAGTGGGAGGTGGGACATAGATTAGCAGGATACGTTTCTAGCAAAAGGATGGAGAGCCTTTCAGTGACAAGGTTTTGGTGAATTAAGACTTGAAGAAAAAAAATCAGATTTACGGTTTGTTTGAATCACATGCCTTAGGGGATATCAAACCTGCTTTCGTTGAAGCTAGATGCTTCTTTTTCTTAAAGTGTGAAGGAAGTTCTGTGACCTCTCTTTCAAAACAGCAGCATTACGCTGCTCTCCTGCAGACAGGCTGCAAGGCCAGGTTCTGTGCTGCTTTGCCTCTGCCCTCTGTCCAAGCATCCTAGTCTAACGTGAGAACTGGCATTCTCCTACTAACTCCTAAACCCTAGGAAGAATTGATGGGAATTTTTCCACCAGAACCTTCTTGCGGGGCTCCCTTCTTGAGCAGCCTCTCAGAGGGGCAGGGCAGCAGGGGACGGGGCATCTCTGTCCTGCCAAGCAAGGCCTGGCTCAGAGTGCGTGACCATCAGCAAAGCTGGGCCACGTGCCCCGGTGCCACTTGCCTCACATGACCTGTCTCATGATGGTTGCTTGTGCTTCCTCTTGGTTCCTTGTCCAAGCAAGCTCCAATGGGCTTCCCTTGCATAGACAGAGTTGATGTCTCTAAGGCAAGAACTGCCTGGAAGCAGGAATGAAGCCTTTGGCAGCGGCGTCTTTTCTGCCTGTTCACCTGGGAGGCGGAGGAGGTGTGAGTCACATCCTGCCTTGCCATTTCTTCATCTTTCTGAGTCCTCTCCTAAGTTACCTTGTTTTCTTCCTTTTCCCTGCTCGGTGCTCACTGAAGAGGGTGAGATGCTCTGGATCCACACGAGAGCCGAGTCTTTTCCATGGGTGAATAGTTTTGATGTGTATCCCACATGATTCTTGAGCAACATCTTACACTTCTGCATGGCTTTGGTTGTTGTATGTAAATGGATATTTAGAAGCCTAATTCTGCGGCTCTTTTGGTGTGGAGAAGGGACACAAAGATGAGCAGACTCCAGCCATAGTGGTAGGTAAAGCTTTGTGCTGGAATAAGACTAAGTCGTATATATAGGCTTTACTTACAATAACCTATGGGAAGCCTCTTGTCTCGCAGGTCAGGGCTGGAGCTGGAGCAGAGCTCTTAGCGCTGGGATGTGTTCCTGGAAGCACGCAGGGCTCCGAGGGGAGGCTCCTGCAGAGTCTCCACGTGCTGCCTTCCCAATCTTCCTTTCCGTGAGCACCCGGCCCACTCACAAATGGCTCACATCAAAGACAACAGACATATGGAGGAGGTTAATGGAGCTCGGCAAACTGGAGCCATTGCTGGCTCCAAAACACATCAGGAAGAGCCAAAAACAGGGAAAAAAGGGAAGAAAAAAAAAATGACTCCACAAATTTTTACTGACAGCTTTTCTTGTGTGTCATTTATTTTTCTTACGGCTCAAGATGCTCATGTTAAATGCCTTTTGTGAGGCTCAAGATGCCCGTGTTAGATACTTAGGCTCCGATGTTCTCAGTTGTCCAGCAACAGGGTGAGGAATTGGTTTTCAGCACTGGTGAAGCAGGAGCGGACAACTTAATTTCAGTTGTGTTTGTGTGATCATTCCTGGCAAAATGAGATTTTAATTAGATTTAATCAGATTTGATTTAGGTTTTAATTAGATTTAATTAATACATTAATTGGTTATCTTGGGGTACTTTTTTGCTTGTGGATCCCCTACAGTTGTCATTACGACTTAGAATATTTAATTAACGATTGTCCAGCTTGATGGAAAAAGAAGCAGAAGATCCCCTCGAGCCCCGATTTCTGTTTGCAAAGCCTCATCTCAAGAGTCTCACCTGCTCCTTAAGATGTGTGGACATCACTGAGACACTAACTCCTTCTCCCCGCGTGAGCTGAGTGAGCAGATACGATAGTGCTTCCCAAAACCATCTTGGGTTGCCTGAATTGGGGCAGGCAGTTGCTTTGGTTTTGGCCGTCTCTGCTACGCCGTGGGTCTGATTTGGGGCGAGTGTTAGGAGCTACTGGTTCTTGCCAAGTTTTGCTTGGGGTGGTGGGTGTTGGACCCATTGTCACTGGGTCTTGTTTAGGAATGATTTCATGTGGGGAAAGAGGCCAGACACCTCCTTGGTTGTGATTTCAGCATCACTTGTGGGGGAACGGTTACATTTCTACCCTAATTTTTGGCAGATACTCATAGCAGTAACTTGAAACAACCACCTATAATCATCTTACCCATGGTTTTTTTGATAAGAATAGCAGTGTATTTAGTACCACTAGACAGAGATGAGAAAACTAATCAAAAATGTTTGCTACGGAGGGTGCATATATGTGAAAGGAGGGGCAGCTTAAAAGCATACACTTGGAGCAACCTCCCTGTGGTGGCCCTGTAGAAACATGGAGATAGTGCCCTCCAAAGCCAGAGGAACAAGCAGGATTTGCACTTAGAGGCAGCTGTATGGAAATGTTAAGTGATAGTTATGTGATAGTGAACCCCATCCTGGGGTGGGTCTCAGGCAATTTTAGAAGCTATGATATAGATAAGAACAACAACAAAACCAACAACCCAGGGATGTCTACTCTCAACTCGAGTGCCCCTTCCTGTGTCCACAGTTGTGCAGAATTTATTCAGACTGTTTTTTGTTCTCTTCCCACGGCAGCCAATTCCAGTGTTCCTTACAGTCCACAATGCGGCTGAAGTTATAACCTGTGGCTTCCAGAAGTTTGTGCAGAAAGAGGTAATTGAAATATTAATTGATACCTCCTGTGTATAACTGCCCTGCAGTGAGAGCTGCTTTCTTTTATTACTGGCTTTAGTGCTGTTTGCTTTTCTAGACTTACTGTGATAGCTAGTCATTAATGAGTCCCAGGGGGGGATTTGCTGCTGGCAAGTATTTATATTGACCTTTTCTTTTCCTCTTTAGTTGGGGAAGCATTGCAAATGGATAAAATGTTTAGTGACAGTATTGCTAAGACAGGCTTGGTCTTGCCTTTTTTTTTTCCTTTTTTTCCTTTTGAAAATTAACATCCCTTCTCTTCTTGCCTTATGTAAGAGTTGCTATTTGGGCTGGGGGAGTGTTGCAGGGGACTGAGTCCTCAGAACTAGCCAGTGAACTCTTGTCTAGCATTTGATATGTTGTATGATTATAGGTAGATTACATCTCCACATGCAGTGCAGGAAATGCAGCTTGGGATTTGTTTTTTAATGTTTTGGAATCTGTTCCAAGACCTTTTAAAGACCGGAGAGTAATTCCTGCTTGTTTTAAGAGTTGAGTCTGTTTCTCATAAACTGCACTGGCCATTCCAGCTCTGGAATGTTTTGGGATCCTCCAAGTGGAGAGCTGCTGTGACGCAGCCCTGCGAAGTCTTGCACTCCCCAATGAGTTCAGAATACCCAGCTAGAGCCCATGTGGTCCTTGGTTTCGGGAAAGGTCGGGAATAGTTCGAAGACCAGGTATAAACCTCACATCTGGTTTTAAGTTCACTCAGTGGCAAATGATCTGAGACTATAAATCAGAGGTTGGTGTAGGCCAATCTGTAATACTGATTCTTTTGTCAAATTAAATTTGCTTGGCAGTGCTCAAAGATAATGGACTGCTGAACGTTGCTCACTGTTTTTCTTGTATTTTTGCTGCAGTAAGATCAGCTGTGATCTCTTCCTGTTTATAGAAGGGGAAAGCACTCTCACCATTATCTCTAATATTTTAATTCCACATTCTTTTTACAGCAGACTTCCCTTTTGAAAGTCTGCAGGTAAGTTTTTTTATGTTTTTTTATATTTTTCTTCTTTTTTTTTAACTGCGCAGATTCAGATTCAGATTTGTTTTGGCTTCAGCTTCTTGTATTTGTTTCAGATAATGACACACCAAAACAATAAAGAGTGGAAGGCACATTCCTGTGGGCAGTAATCCTAAGTTGCAAAATAGAAGTAGTTATTTGTTTTTAATGTAGTTTCTTTTTTTAAAACAGTTAAATAGATATTTTTTTTTCTTGTAAAAATTAATGTCAGAAAAGCAGTATTCCTGAATAACAACACAGTACTTGTAAAACTGTTTTTGGAAAGGAGAAACAACTTGTCTTTAAAGTTCCAAACGATAAACGGAAAGAAAGATGACTAATGTGACAGAAAACAACTAAAAATGTCTTAAGAAAAGATAGGTGACATCCAGTTTTATTAGCGTTGTTCGTATGAAGCTATACCCTGTCAAAAATCTTTTTTTGGCCCTGTGTGTTTAGACTTCAGAAAGAGAAAGTGAAAAACAGAAACCAGCCACTCATGTATTAGAAGTTTTTCTTCCCCCATTCTCTTGAAGAAAATATGAAGAAAATATAATTGGTATTCTCTGTATTTTTGTGAAGTTCTAGCTGTTCTTAGTGTGGGGCCCTGTCTTGTTGCTTCCTGCCCTTTGCTTCTGTTATCTGGCTTACTGCGACCTCGCTTTGCCCACTGGATTATCAGTCAAGGAGAGCAGGGTTTTTTTTAATCTTTATTCTCTCTTTTCCTTCTGCTCTGCTAGAAACTCAGAAAACCAACTGCTCTCCTTAAGGTACCTGCAAGGTACCAAGTCACTCTGGTCTGTGTTCTGGGCTTGCACGTAGTGTGGAACGGAGCCACCTCTGCCCCTCTCTGCTGGGACTGCAGCCTTAGGCCTTCTGCCTTAATGAATGAGCTCTCTGGTAGCCACCCAGAGCTTAAAAATCGCTTCTTTAGGTTTTCTGAGGCATGCAGGGGAAGCCAGGTGGCAAGTGAAGAACAATATTCCCTGCAGCACTTTGTTTGCATCACTGGTGGGATTGTTTTGTGTCACTCTTCCGCTCGTACAGTTTTGCTGTGTGTTATGAAGAGGGCATGATATAAAAATGAATTTTGGTGACAAAAATGCCACCTTTAAATTTATGGATTAAGAATGAAATAAATAGCAGAGTAATATTGAGTGGAAGCCCCCAGGGTCTGTAGGAGCTCAGATCCAGGCCGAGAGGTTTCAGTCTTGTTCTTTTCCTCTCCCCAACAGTGCGTTGTGCCTCCTGGGAGCAGCCGTGTGCCTTCCTTTATGTGACACACAGGTGAGCTCTGCTCTCTTAACCAGCTCTACTTGAACCCTGCTGTTTTACATACTGGTAGCCTGTGAGGGAGAATGTCTGTGATGCAGCTTCGGCTTGCAAGCTGAGGTGGTTGGCAAGTGCTGTGAAGGAACCATAAATGTGGTCTATTGCCATGCTATATTATTGCTGTTTTTAATATTTTTGCATCACAGTAAAACCTCTTTAAGCAATTCAGGCCTAGAACTGTTGGGCAAAACACCCAGGGCTGGGGAAGCACAGAATCACAGACTGGTTGAGGTTGGAAGGGACCTCTAGAGATCATCTAGTTCAACTTTCCTGCTCCAGCAGGGACACCCAGAGCACGGGGCACAGGGCGGCATCCAGGTGGGTTTGGAAGATCTCTAGAGAAGGAGACTCCAGAGCCTCCCTGGGCAGCCTGTGCCAGGGCTCTGTCACCCTCACAGGAAAGAAGTTCCTCCTCACATGGACATGGAACTGCCTGTGTTGCAGTTTACACCCATTGGCCCTTGCCCTATCACTGGCCACCACTGAGAAGAGCTTGGCCTCTTCCTCCCTACATTTCTCCCCTCAGGTATTTGTACATGTTGAGCAGATCCATTCTCAACCTTCTCCAGGGAAAACAGGCCTAACTCGCTCTGTCTTTCCTAAAGAAACATTTCTTTAACCTCTGCAAGGCCTTGAAGCAATGCACCTGGGCCTGCAGTTATGGCACATATTCAGCATGATCCTAGCGGAGCCTCATAAGCCCTCTGTGCTCTTTCTGCAGGCTTGGGAGAGAGCAGGGAGGTACCTCTAGGGAGCAGTCCAGTCCACTGAAGGTGCATCCTTTGGAGGTGTCCCTTTCTCTTTTGGAAAGCTGCATCTTTCATACAGATGCTTCAGTCAATAGATGAAGTTTTGTCTCATAAATCTGTGAGGTTGAATGTGCCTGATCAACTGTAGACAGCCAAGCTGGTCTTGTGAGTCCTAGTCCATTGTGCAGAGTAGGTGGTTCTGTATATAAGTCATCCCAAATAAAAACAGACACGTAAAAGAGGCCAAGTGAATTCCCCTCCAAAATTGTTTATTTCTTCCCTTGGATTGTGAAGAGAGCCCACCTTGCTCAGAGGTGTATTTCTGTTTAAAGTGTTTTTTGGAACCCTTAAGAGAAAGGTTGTATATGAGAGCAGATTGAATGCACTTCCCTCTCACTTTTGCTTGATCCAGGAATAAATTTCCTCTTATCACAGTCCTGCAGGGAGTGAGAGCCTCGCAGAGACTGCGTAGCCGCTGCGGGAGCCGAGAGGCCAGGAGACAAATATCTCCTACCCCCTGCTTGTCCCTGGCTGCCTCCCCGGATGGGCTGGAGGAGACAAAAATTAACAGCTCTGCTGCACGAAAAACGGCTGCAAACAGGGATAAGCAGGGTGGGAAGTCTGTGCTCTCAGCTGGTTTAAAATGCTGTGCATGTGCTGAGAGCTCTGCTCGCCCCGGCTGCCTGAGAATCCCAGAATGCCTGAGGTTGGAAGGGACCTCTGGAGATGAGCTACTCCAGCCCCCCTGCTCCAGCAGGGACACCCAGAGCACGGGGCACAGGGCGGCATCCAGGCGGGTTTGGAAGATCTCCAGAGAAGGAGACTCCACAACCTCCCTCCTCATGTGAACGTGCCTTTATTTATTTAGATGTTCTTCTTTTGCAGTTTGATCCAAACGGTTATTTGTGGGCTTTTATTCACTTGATCTGTCTCGGTAAGTTGTTGTCTTGTGGAAAAAAGAGCTGGGAAAAACAAATGTGTTGGAAAAGCAAGCCATGGCTTTATTGTGTAGCTATTGATATTTAAGGTTCCTGATGCAAGAACCACCTGGAAAGAATAAAGATGCTCAGGAAAGATGGTAAAGTTCATTCCCTGTATAGTTTTTATGCTGCAAACAATGATAGAATAAACTAGAGGTAGCAGGCACTTCACATGAGAAAATGTGCATGTAGTTTTAATCACCAGTAGGCTTTTCTGGGAAATTTTGATGGTTGCCCACTAAGAGACCTTCCTTGCAGGAGTGGGAGAGGACAGGAAACATTGTGAGGGGGGATTAAAAAACAACAAGGAATGCTCTGCAGTTAGAACTTCACTGCACATGCTGATTTTATTTAAAAACTGACAAAAATATTCTAAAATATAATTGAATATTTTTCTCAGGGGAAGGATGTTGTAATGTTGGGGTTTTTAGTGCAATCATACACTTTTTTTTTTTTTAATTTTAAGTCTGGACTTCATGACCTGTCAGTGCTTTTATGTTTCTCTTCTGTCTTTAAGGTAAATCTTTTGTCTGTTTTTAAATAAATCATATTCTCCCATGAAAGCCGCAACAGTCAGATGCGGAGAACCTGACGAAAAGTAGCAATTTTTAACTAGGAGAAGGTAATTTTGTAATTTTATGCCCTTTGGAGCATTAGACTGAGTAAAAAGGAACTTATATTTAGTTCTTCGCTGTCTTGGACTGAGTGACTGATATGAATCATATGTTAAGTCTCATCTGCAAAGTAGAGATGAATCTGTCTTTATTTTGTCTATTCTTCTTGTAAACTTCTTAGACAGAGATTGTGTCTTTTTATGTGTTTGTGTCTAGGAAGGTCTAGAGATTCCATTTTAAAATGTTAACATACCAATAACAAACAGTGGGGTTTTTTTCTTGTTTTTCTTTTCCTTTAGGAAATGTCATATGGTAAATATTTGCACATTTAGGTAAAAACAAAAAGCTAAGGATTTTTCCACTTCAAATATTTGTGCCTGCTGTAGCAAGTGATGTTATTGCTTTCTCAAAGGCACAAGGTCGCATTTGTCCAATGGTGCGAGGCCACAGAGGTGGAAAGCAGCTTGGAATGGCAGCTCTGCTGTATGGATAAAATGTGTGGGAAGTGCCAGGGCGATGTTTATGCTCCAAACACAGCTTCTTTCGCTTGCTTTTGTTTTGGGGATGGAGCTGCTGACATGCCCGTTGGAGACTTTTGTGTAGTGCAAGACAGGGAAATGGGGAACCAACTTAACATACAGTTTAAGGAAGGCAGTGTTTAAGGAAGGGGGTGCACGTGCTACCTTGCAGCTTGGCCAAAGGAGGTAGAATTGAGGAGATTTATTGCATAGTGTTCTAGCAGAGTTGCTTATCACGTTGGGATTTTTCTTGTGTTTCTAAAAAAAAAAAAAAAAAAAAAAAAACCCTGAAGAAAGGATCTGAAAAAAATACACTGAAGCTCTATTATTCCTTCCCTGCCTTGTTAGTGACATTCCCAGAACAGCGGTGGGAAGCAAATAGCTTGAGGGTGCCGAGAACCTGGAGAGTCCAAAGCTGAGGAAACTTCAGACAGCAAAGAGCAAACAGTGACAGCAGCCCTCGTGGATGAAGATATTGTAGAAGTGCCCCCCAGAGTTCAGTGGCCCAAAGAACCCATTTTTCTGCAGCAGTTCTCTTCATATATTTATACATGCACCCATTTACCCATGAATATTCATAGTTGTCATGAGCTTGGAGTCATCTCCTCCCAAGAAAAGCTAGGAGAACATGTACTATGACAGTACTCGGAGATGGAAACTGTTTGAAAACCATTTATTTGAAGTGATAGGTGACTTTATTCATGGCTTAGGCATCCTTTGAACCATGTGGCTGACTGTAATTGAGAAGATTCCTTGTCTGTCTGTACCATGGCCAAACAAATCATTGTTGGGCAGAATGATTGCACTTCACAGCAATTACACTTGTCATTTCAATTGCAGGGGCTTACAAAGTATTTCACAAGTTATGGAAACCTTGCTCTCTAAGGTAATGTGTTCAAATATATATTTATATTAAAAAAAGTTGCTATCAAAGAGGCTTATTTATCTAGCAGTCAGGTAACTAGGGATCTCTGCTTTATTGGGATAAACTGGGGCATACTTGGATGATCATTAATGGCTTTTCTTGCCAGAGGAGCAGCATTTATTGCTGCTAGTTTTAACTATACCATATAGCTATTGATGTTTATCCTGACTCAAGCACTACATTAGTTTTAAATACTGTGTTATCAAAGGACGGTGACTTCTTTCCGGGGAAAGATTCCCAGATTAGTGTCAGAGGCATTCAGAGGAAATGGTAGTTTGTGTCAGCCTTGAAAACTGGAGGGTTTGTCTCTTAGTATCTCTTTGCAAAGCCTGTAACAGCTGGTGCCTTGCAACAGAACTTGAATGTCCAAGTACGTTAAAAATCTTGCACCAATCCCATGATCATTTTAGCATTAAGCCCAGAGTAAGAAAGTTTGTTTTGAAGTGAGGTGTTTAGGTGTTCACAGTGTCCATAATCTGCAGTTCTCCGTGTGGAGATGGACCTGTTCCCACTGAGTGTAATGGACATTTGTGTGGACATGTTACATGTATGTATAGCATGTGGACCAGCTCATTTGTTTTAAGAGGGCTTTCCTTCTGTGCTTAAAGGGTTCCTGTCTTCAGTCAATCTTGTGTTACCCTGACTTTCAGTGAGCATCACCATTGGCATAGTTACAGCAGAAGTAATGTAAAAGCAGTGTAAATAAAGTGTAGATGAATATATCAATCTCTTCTATCAAATATCAAATGATCTGTGTTATTAAAAGAGCACCTTTTTTTCCCCCCTTTTGCAGTGACCTGGACCAGCAGTACATCAACTATGTATTCAGGTAAAATCAGTAAGCTTTTGGTATACCATAGTTGGTTTTCTCTAGTAAATGTTTTCATTTTCAGCCATGTCTTTTTGCTTAGGAAAGTCCTAGCTACTACTTGGTTTTATCTGGTTAGCAGGATGTTCATGGAAGTGAATGAACCTAGTAGCTGAATGTTTAGGCTTTGACTACAGATGCACGTGCCAATACACACCCAAGGAGATAATGAAGTGTTAGTTACAATTTGTAATCGCCATGTGCATCTCTGGAAGAGATATGTAGAATAATGTTTAAAGAGCAGCTCTTTGGCAAACCCCACTCAGAAAATCAAACTTGCACAAAATTGCCGGGGGGAGATAGTGATTGTGGATGCACCATGTGTGAAGAACGTGAGCAGTAACTGGTGGTTCAGAGTGCTGTTAGGAGGATTGAGCAATTCAGACCTTTATTTGTTTTCTCGATTTGGAGATATGAAACTGGTTTGTGAATTTGTGGGTAGCAGAAGAGCTTGAGTCACCCAGCAGAGTCCCTTACGTGTGTGTGGTTGGGGTGTGCGATTCCCGCCACGATCCTTTCCCTGAAGGGCCATCGGAGCCAATGCGCTCAGCTTGCCCGGCTTCCATGGGGTGGTTTTTGAGGCTCCATTTGAGGTGAGGTACGCAGAGATTCTTGATAGATCCTCCTCTACCCGCCAGGCAGCCTCTTGCCTCACGCCTGCCTGTGCTCGTTGACCTCTGTTCTTGAGGTGGTGGACAGGGCTCTGAGGAAGTGCTGTGTGCTGTGAATACTGAGCTCTTGGGAGGAAGGGTGGTCAGGAGGAATGAAGCCCATCCATGGGCTGGGTTGGAGCAGAACAGAGAGCTTAAGTTATAGGTGAGCCTAACAGAAGTGAAATTATGCTGGCTTATTTCATTGGATGGATTGGTGCTCTTGCCTGGCCACATCTGGTAAAGATCCTTGCTAGGGATGCATCAGGGACACTGCTGTGGGGCAGTTATGGGTCAGCAGTTTCCTATTACCTTGTGAACACCAACTTGATAACGTGATCTGTCTTAGTCTGATCAAATCTCCTGTCTTCTCTCAGCCTTTTGTTTCCAGTCAGTTGTTGTTTTCTGTCTCCTGTGAGGAGCAAAGCAAATGAGGTCTAGGCAAAGAAGGCAGTGGTGCCCACTGGGGCTCCCTGGAAGGGCGCTGCAGTCACAGAGCTTGGAGAAACGCTGCCGTGCACAGGGGTAACCCAGGGAGTCTTGAGAGCTGCTCTGCTGGAGCAGCTGTTTGTTCTCCTGGCAGCTGTATGGACAGTGGTGCAAGGAGAAAAATCGAGAGGGGTAAATATATATATAAAAATATATATATAAAAAATGTATGTATATATGTGTGTGTATATATGTATATATATATGTGTATATATTATATACATACATACATATATATATATTTTGTCTCTGCCTAACTGTAGCTCTCGATTTTAATTTTAGTCAAAGCTCACTTGGGCCTGAACTTGCAGGTTCAGATTTTAGCTCAAGGTCTTAGTTTAGTGCCTTAGACTGAAAAATGAGGGTGTGATTCTCTGCTGTGTTAGCTTTGAAGGTGTGAGGTTGTGTCCAGCAGAGAGCAGGAGTTACCCATTGAACGGGAGGGGTGGATACTGGTTTAGTGGTCTTTGAAAACAAGATCCTGTTGGTTAAGCAACTAATGGTTTGTATTTAAAAGCTGTTGGGTTTTTAGGCAATGGAGTTGTGGGACCAGGGAGATTTTTTTCTTTATTTTAGCAGCTCTTTACAAGCAGAATGTGTTAGCAAAGCTTGCCAAGGTCCCCACCCCATTAAAGGTCAGTGCAGCTTGAGGGGTAGTGGTGTGGAGCACTTGCTGGAGAGCGAATTGCCTTTGGGAAAGAGGGAGCAGGTGAAAATCTGCTTGTGTGCGCTGGGCCTGTGGCCATGGACACATGCAGCTCTTTCCACCGGAGAGCGTGGCAGCTCCTGCCGGAGAATCACACAGAATGTTTATGGTTGGAAGGGACCTCTAGAGATCATCTAGTCCAACCTTCCTGCTCCAGCAGGGACACCCAGAGCCCAGGGCACAGGGCGGCATCCAGGCGGATTTGGAAAACCTCCAGAGAAGGAGACTCCACAAAACATGGCAGTTCCTGCCGGAGAATGTGGCAGTCCGTGGCAGTCGCTCCTCGTTGTGCCCAGAGAAAAACCTGGGTTCCAAGAGCAGCCTGGATCTGGCCTCTGGTTCCTTCCAGGCTTCTGCTTTGCCACCGTGGCCAGTGACACGCAGCACGGATGGATTTGGGCAGGAGCTCTGTCCTTGTCTGTGACCTTCATGAGGTAGTGCTGCCGTGGACATCTCGGGCGTCTAATGAGGCCAAGAGCTTCTGTGGCAGAGGGTCCAGGTGGGAGCTGCTTCTTCCTGAGCCCTGGGAGCCTGTAACTACCTTGAGGTGTCTGCTGCTTAAATCTGGGTCAGCGTGTTTGAGAGCCAGAAGGGGTGACTGGCAAACACAGAATTATTGCGAAAGCTTAATTTACACACGAGACAGTCAAAAATATTTAAATCATTTAAATAAAACTTATTTTAGCTTGAACATTGAATGAGTGCTAATTTATTATGGTCAATTTTTGGTCACATATTCTTACAAATATGTGCCTACTGCTGGCAGAGGGTGCCCAGCTGTGTGGGGTGAGCTCTGTGCTGCACCCTGTCTCTGCTCCAACCGGGTCTCTTTGAGGCCGTTGCAGCCGCGAAGGGACCTCGGGTCCATCCCCAGAACGAGAAGGTGCTGCAGCCTGGTGGTCTTGTCTGTGTATCTGAAGAAACTTCCTAGTGTAGTATCCATGCTGCTCTTTTTTATTAGGAAGAGTATCAATAGACCTTTATAGCCCCTTGTTTTTACCGCAGATCAGACAGCTGACATGTGACTGGGGGAAGAGCGAGCAGCTGTGTGAGCACAGCCAGGGTGATTGTTAGAGCAGGGGCTGTTGAAAGTGTTTGGTACAAAAACAGAGTTGTGCTCTCAGTGCAGATGCTGTCTGCGTAGAGCAGATTAAAGTTTTGCCTCGGGCTACTGGATATTTTCATGTACTACTATGTTAGATTAAAAATACATATTGAAATTAAAAAATATTTACCTACTTTGGCTCGGTTGGACTTTGCCAGAGGTGCAACTGAAACGAGCAGAATTGTCTGCCCTGCTCTGTCCCTACATGCACTGTTTCTTGTTTTAAAATCTGGAACAAATTCTTCGGGAGAGTGTTTTAAGCTCGGGTGTTAGTAAATGTATGTGGATGGGAAATTTCCAGAACCAAATAGTCTGAAGAAATATTTGCTGCTGTTGGAAGCGTGACGTCCCTCTCACTTCATCACTTAGAGCGTTCAGGTTCTCGTTCTTTGATGTACATGTATTTAAAGGAGCCAAATAGGGAATAGATGTAGGAGGGAAAACAAAGCTGTACTTCATACACACGAGGGATGGGTGGTGGTTTTTCTTTGGCCCCTTCCCTTGCATTTGAGTTCTACCTGGCATGTTGAGGGATACGGGATGCTGCTTTAAAGGGGGTCACAGCTGGTGATCTTTTTCGTATGCTGAGGTGGATAAAGATTCGTTGCTCCCGGGAAAAGGTTTTGGTTCATCCCAGTGCCTCTGTCTGCAGAGGCTCGGCAGACAAGCTGGGAGCCAGACAACCTGGTGAGGAGCAAGCTGAGCAGCAGAGTGTGAAACGTTGAACAAACGGCACTGGCCTAGGCGGGGGGTAAAGGCTGTAGCCTGTGCAACTATTTGGGTTGGATTGGATTGGAAGAGCTGCTAATTTGCCATATTTGTGAATTTAGGAAGTTGCAGTGGATTTCCTGTAATAGGGAAAGGCAGCTTTGTGGGCATAAATAGTTGTTTCTGATGAAAACTAGGTCTTTTTAGCCAGAGGTAAGTGTGCAGATGAGCCAGCCCAAAGCAGTGTGCAATGGACATGGGGCATGGGCAGTGGGCGTGGGGAAGAGGAACGGAGGAGCCCCACACAGGAATTTAGTTTCTTCTGTGGCCTGGTGTCCAGGCTGTTCTCCTGGAAACCCCTGAATCCCCTGGTCTGCTCCTGCACCATCCCGGTGTCTTTCCTGCTGAGCAGGGCAGAGGCCAGCGCAGCCCTGGTGCCACCTGAGCCGCAGAAAAGGCCCTGTTTTCCTCCCATTTCCTTTGGATTCAAGCCTGGGGTGTGTGATGGGGGTTATCGATTTCTCTTGGTTGCAGAAGGAAGTTTCTCTTTGAGCATTTCCCAATCTCATCTTAGTTTGTTTGAGAGTAATAGAGCAGAAGCAGCACTGCAGGATCACAGCTTAGTGATAATTCTCATGGCTGCTGACACGGTTACACCTGTCCTTGCAGTGCCCCGTTGCCTTTCCTGTTCAGTCCAAAGCAACAGGCCTTTGCTTCCTCGGTGGGTCTCTCTTTTACTGCTGCTCCTGAGCCTGGTGAGAATTGCTGACGACCAGGGGAAATTGCCTGGCTTCAGTATCCCTAGCATTGATAAATGTCTTCACCTCCATGCTTGCTGCTCACAGAAAAGGCCTCTCCAGATACCCTTGGGTCCATCGCTTGCATGTATTGTTGGTATCTGGAGGGACCTGCAGTTTTTCTTTGGGAGATTGGTTTGATACTTCCAGCTTGCTCTTCCCCCAGTATCTTTGTAGCTTTTCAACCTTGGAAACAATGTGGAATGACAGGAACAGCCAGTGGAGGTGAAGAAACCTCTGTAGAGCCTCTGCTACAACTCAGAGCCTGAAGTCCTTATGGCATCTCGGAAGTATTAAGTGATCTGCCAATACAGAACTAGTCATAGCTGATTTTCTTATTCACTTGTATCTTTGTTTAAAAAAAAAAAAAGTGTGCATGACTTGATGACACTTGGTGTTTAAAAATGCACAAAAAAATGCAGCATGTTGGAGTTTTTAAGTGACATTTTGGGCATGAATGTATGATGCATGCACAGTCACGCATGTAGAAGTCAATATTTGGCTTTTACCCAAAGTATGTGTGTGTCTACAGAGCGGCCACTTGCATACACACCATTAAACCCCCTCTAATTCAGGCACAAACACAGTTCCATGTAGCTTCTCTCTCGGGGGTGTCACCAGGTGGCAAAGCTGCACAGGGCTTGGGGGCTCCACTGAGTGATGTGATCAGCCAGAGGCGCTCAAGGCAAGTTGAGGCAAACTGGGTGTACTGGAATGCCTGTAGGAAGCCTGTGGCCAGGAAATGGAGGGAAACGGCTCTTGCCCTCAGCGCCATCCTGCTTAGCCCCGGGAGCGGTATCCAGGTTTGGCTGCCCAGCTCGGGAAGGATGCCGAGGAGCGGCGCGGAGTCCGGCAGGAGCTGCCGGCACCCGGAGCACCTGGACAACTGCAGGGAGAGGCTGAGGGACCTGCTCTTGTCCACACTGGCAGAAGGGAGACAAGGGGCAACCTGGCGACGGGCTGTACCCCCTTGAGAGGGCGTCACGGGCACAGCAGAGGAAAACTCTTGTACGGGTGGGGACAAGTAGAATAATTGGGTGCAGCAGCTGTAAATTGCAGCTTAGGCAGTTTAAAATGCCCACGTGAGGAGTGGTTAGGTGATGTTGGAGCAGGTTGCAAAGTGCCCTAGGAACTTCTAAGACCTGGCTATAGGCAAAGCCAGGAGTGTGTGCAGGTGATAGACCCAGATAGACTGGTGATAGACCCAGCAGCTGGGCTAGGGGACCCCAGACATCCATCCCAGCGTTATTGTCACTTATTCTTCAGTTATTCCAGTGAAACGGATTTTAGTCATGAAGTAACACATGCAGGGCTGTCTGTATGTTCAGGCCATGTCATAAATACTGTAACATGCATTTTCTAATTTCTTTTCTTCTTTTTAGTGTGGTACTGTTGGCCTCTGCATCCCATCCAGCAGGTAAAGTGGACTGAGATGTTTCTTTTTTTTAGGTTTGCATATTGCCTTCTTGTGCATGTAAGCTCCTGTAGAATTAGGAAACATAAAAATTATAATGTGACAGCCTATTGGCAGGGCAGGAAGGTACACAGTGCTAGGCATTGTGTAGTCTATGTGATATTTAGTAATACCTTTCCTACCTGTCCCTTGCAAAGAAGCAACATGGGACAAGCAAGAGCTTTTGAGCTCTTTTTTGATGAAGTATCCTTATTTTAACATAAAACAAAAGGATAAAAGTGGAAAAACTGGGTACTTGAGGATAGTTAATATTCCCCCCATACTGGTGTTTCAGTAGTTTGAATAAAGTTAATATATTGCTTTCAGTAGAACATTGCTTAGACAGAAAGACAAAAGATATTTTAAAAAAAAATCCTCCCTTGTCTGGTTGTTCACACTGTATACAATCACACATACATTCCTATATACTGTATATATTCATACTGCATACATTTCCACACAGAAATGTCAAGGGAAATAGACCTGCATTTCAAAAAGTGAAAGGCAAAACTTTGAATCTGTAGAGCCTTGAAGAAAGGCAAGAAAACTCCAGGGGATTTTTTACCTAGAGCTCCTGGGCCCAAGCACCTGGAAATCCAAGTATTCCAGAGCTCTGCCTGGATGTGGGAGAATGTTCTTCACCTTCGCAACTTCTGCTACGTGTCAGAGTTCAAATCCCAGAAGGGGAAGCAGCCACCACATGTTTGTGTTTCCTGGTGCTTCAGTAAGTCACTTTGCTGACTTGAGCAGGAGGTGAGAGGTGGGTAGGATGCGGGTCTGCCTGGCAACTGTTGCTTCACCAGACTGATTTGTATCCTAACATAGAATATTGTTGGGTTTTTATGTACTTGCTTTTCCCCTTTGCAGATGAAGGCAGGAGCTGACCAGAATCAGGAAGCTCCAAGAGCTGCCATTAGACACACTAGAAATGTGGGAAGCACCATAAATGAAAAGTCAGCAGCTGTGAGGGCTCACAGGGAGGTTGAGCAAGAAATTGTCCCTGTATAGTTGCTGTTCCCCGGCGTGTACGGATGGGTATTCCTTTCTGTCTCCTGTTTTGCACTGAGCCTGCTGCTTTGTCCCTCAGGTGATCTCCTCAGTGCCTTGGACTTCCCATTCCTCTACTTCTACAGATTCCATAGCAGCTGCTGTGCCAGGTAACCTCGCTACAACAGGCCATGTGAATGTGCTCAGAATGAGAGAACCTCTTGCCTTCCAAGCTTGACTCAGTTAAAAACTGGCAGCATGCAAAGCTTTAGCTACCCCAGATTCTCCTGGAGCAGGTCAGTAAAGCTGCAGAGAGGTGACTGTCTGTCAAGATGTATTTGCAGGCTTGTATATATGAGTTTATGGTATATGAGTTTATTTGTGAGTATATTCTGCCCATGACGGTTCCCCATCTCCAGGAAAATATTTTTCACCCAGTGTAGAAAGCTTTGATAAACCCAAATGCTTCTCAAGTCGGATTAGCCCTTGTAAAACTTGCTCTTTGCAGTGATTACAAAGTATTAGGCTTCAGCAGTATATGAGTGTACGTGGATTTATTTGCCTGTACATCTTGTTATTTGGCAGGATGCTTTTTTTGGGTAAAAGGGAAAAGCTTTAACAGACGCCCCTCTATTTTGAGCAGCAAAAGTTCACAGCCCTCACAGATAACATAAGTATGTCTTTGCAGTTCTTAATTATCTCAAAGCTTATTCTTTGTTCTTATCCAAACTTCTGCCTGGGGAAAACATTTTCTTTTTAAATGGGGTGGAAAAAATGTATGTTCATGCTAACTGCTTGCAAAAATATTTTTGTTTGTTGGGGCTTTTCTAATTTTCTAAGCTCACATTGGGCTTGCTGAAGAGCTTGTCCATGGTAGTTCTGGGAAATACATTCCTTGAAGACATGGTCCACCTTCAGGCACCAGTGAATATTTGCTAGCCCAGAACCTTCTTTTCTTTTCTTCATGTTTCTTTTCTTCTTACTGCATGCTTTGATCCCATTTCCTTTCACATGCTACCCACCACAATACTTTTTATATAAAAACTTTTATGTCTCTATACTAGCCAGGCAGTGATTTGTTCCTTATGTATTTGACATCCCTCTCTATTCCCTTCTTACTTTCACTATCCCATTGCTTCGTAACCAGCGGGATGCAAATATATCACAAGGGAAACTAAATCCAGAGCCCAAGTTTATAGTTTGTCTGAAATTCAGGGTGATGTGGAGCAGAGTTTCCTTCAGGGTGGGCTTGGCTGCAGGTGCCCTAGGCACTGCTCTGCTAAGTGATTTGGGAATCGACTTCACTTACGAGTGAGCTGAAAGCTTTAGGGTGTCCTCCCAAGCACTAGGGGGGCATCTGACTGTTTGGTGTCTAGTGGAGGTGCATTTAACTTCCTTGGAATTTGGGCTTTGTGAAGGTTGCATAACTGAAAGCTTCAGGCACAACTTTTTCCATAGTATGGAGTTTGGGATTTTTATTCCTCCAATATAAGGCTCCATGGAGGTGGAATTGAGATAGTGGCTAAATATGTGGCCCCTGTTGAAGTTAGCACTGCCTTTATTCAGAGCTCTTTCAATGCCCAAAGTTAATATTTGACCCCGTGTTTCCAATAATCTCTACTTTTCTGATTATGCAAGTGCATTAGAGACCAAGCGTAACACTGTCTGACTTCCTTTCCTCAGACTGCAGCCACTGGCTGAACAAAACCCCAACTTTATGTCCAGTAAATTAAGTTCTTTGTATACCAGCTTGCCTTCTTGAAATGGGATTAACACTGCTTGAAGGGTGTCTGTTCAGTAGTGCATTAGGAAAACCAAGATGCCTGTAAGAGGCTGCTTAGCTGAAATTAAGAGACTTTATTCACCAAAGCTCTCCCCCTCTTTTGCAGTGGACTGTTGGGATTCTTTTTGATGTGGCACACAGCAAAACTTAAAAGCAGCACAACCTCAGGGCAATATGCAGCATGGAGTTTCCTTGCAAAGGTAAGAGAAAGACCACGACAGGATCCCTGTGTCTCCTAGGAGGGCTGTGAGGAAATTCATATCTCTAGTTTCCCTGGCTATTTCTATCAGAATTCCTAGGGCCTGTCCATATAACGTTCTGCCTAGAGATGAGGCAACAAATATCAGTCCCTTGTGTAACCAAGCAGGATTTTTGGCTAAGGCCAAGTATAGAAGTTAGACTGAGTTAATATGCTGATTAACTGCAGCTGAGCATTTGGCATACTGAATCCAAGTAATGCAAATCAGTACTCTCCAGAGGATTTTTTTTGGAAAAAATACTCCTTCTGAGAGTGTATACACCAGCCATTCTCTCTGAAGTGCCTTCCCAGCAGGACTGAGTTACAGAGCCAAGAAATAAACCTAGATACATGAAGGTTAATACCAGAACTCCCACTGCCATCATCACAGGGGAGAGCAGTGGATGTCTCTTGCCTTGACTTTATCTCCCATGAGGTTCTTCTATCCAAGTTAGAATTACAATTTGGATAATTAGGTAAAAAAAAACTGTTTGGGTGTTCAGGCTTTGAGGGTAGTAGTTACAGGTCAAAACCTACCCAGAGCCCCTGGTGATAACACAGGCTGGCTGGGGAGCAGCTCTGGGGAAGAGAACCTGGGGGGGTTTGGTGGACAGCAGGCTGACCCTGACCCACAGTGTGTCCTGCCAGCAAAGACAGCCAGCAGTAACCTGAGTTTTACTAACAGCAGCACCAGCAGTAGAGCCGGGGAAGTGATTATCCTCCCCAGCTAAGCACTTGCTAGACCACATCTGGGACAAGGAGTCTTGTTTTGGACCCCTCAGTACAGGAAAGGCAAGTTGGACTGGGGAATTTAGCCAGGAAAAATTCTTTCAACCTGAGGATGGGCAGGCAGGTGCGCAGGTAGCCCACAGGTTGGGCAGTCTCCTCCATTAGAGGTTTTTAAAGAATGACTGTCAAAGCCCTGAGCAGCTTGGTCTGATTTTGCAGCTGACCCTGCTTTTGAAGCAGATGGTTTGTCTAGAGACCTCCTGAGATCTCTTCTTACTTGAATTAGCCTGTGAGTCATGGCTCTTAGGGGTCTGGCTGTTTATCATCAGAATAGCAACATGTCCTTTTTTGTTTGGTTTTTTTTTCTTTTAATTAAAAGTTTTTGACACCTCATTTGTTGACTTACCTGTTGTGGATGCAGTCAGAAGAGCTGATCTGACATTTTTTCCCCAGACACGTATGCCACATTTCATCTCTGTCAGCTTGGCCGTCTGAAAACCACAGCCCTTTTCTTGCATGGTTTTTTTTTCTTTTATTTTTTTTTGGGAAGAATCAGAACAGAGCAAAATGGCAGCTTTTCTACTTGGCAAGCTTTTTCTCACCATACAAGTCATAGTTTCATATGTGTTTGACTTTCTAAGAGCTCCAAAAGAGGCTGCGTGTGGAGATTTCAGTGCTTTAGCTTCCTCCCTGTTCCTTCACAGCAAGTCAGCCGATCGAATGCTTGCTGTTGCTATTTTCATTTATCTGTTGACTTATTTTGTAACGCTTAGGGTAAGAGATGCACAAAGCTGGCTCTGCTGGCACGTATTGTGAATAAGGAAAAATGGCTCTGCCTCTGGTATTTGTGATCTATCTGAAAAAAATGCAGGCAAAGATGTGTTGTGAAATATATTTTAAGCAGATCTGGGTCCTTCCCAAGTTGAAGTGAATCAGAGCCACAAAGTCTGGACTGGATCAAAGCTTTCCCAAAGCTCAAGGATTTCCAGATCTGTGGGATTTTGGCCAACTCTAGATACAGACTTCACAAAGTTTGTTCTAGCCACTGTTGACAACGAGATTACACGCCTTGACTGCAGCTCGAGATTGTCTTTGTACCATTGTGATAATTTAAGCTCTTCTTGTTTTGTAAGCAACCTTACAAGTCTGTGTTTGCTCATGTGTAAGTCTGTGATTTAATGAGTTTTGCTTAGGAGGGATTTTGTAACAACAAAACAGTCCTTTTCCTGTTGTAACTTCTGATCTGTTGTTCAATCTATATGTCTTGTCCTGAGTTCTGAGGCGAGGGGAAAAGTGCTAAAAACATAAGAGCTGCCTGTAACTAAAAATAATAGCAAAGCTAGCAGTTTCCCTAATATCTTCCAGCGGCATTTTTTAAAGCCTCTCACAGGAATGTCATTATGAGTCAGAGCCTTCTGAAAACATACAAGGAATATACAGGAGCTCCTGCTCTAGGTGATGAAATGTAGCCCATGCTGGTGTCAAAGTTGGGGAATGCTTAAAATGCAGCAGAATGGGGAGCGAAGAAGACTCCAGAGAGGCAGAAAACACTGGGCTGAACTGGAATTGGCATGCAAGGGTTGGGACACATACACCAGCACCTACAAAATTCTTCCAAGGTATCTTGTAACAATAAGGATCCATAGATTTAAGTGTGACCTAAGGAAAAAGATATGTGTGTGTTCACTAATGCTGCCTTCTACAGGTGTCTCAAAGTATTAGAGTTGAATTAACTCAACCTGACATTGTGTGAATATGAGGCCTGTCTCAGTCACGCCACAAGTCATTGTAGGTGCAGAAAAGCAGTACTTAACTAATACTGTAAGAATGTGCTTGAATTCAAGTGTGCAACTCCCTTTAAAAAAAAGAGACTTGGAAGGAAGCCGGTGTGGATAAAGAATAAAGATAGAAGCTGTTTGAATCTGGACTTGCAGAATGAAATCCAGTGGAAAAAAACAAAAAACCCCTGGGTCACAGCAGCAGCTTCGCGTTCCCACATGAGCATTTTTCTTGGATTGAGCAGTGCCCTAGATCATCCTCTTAATCTCTCCGACTGACTGGAGGTTTCACCAGCAGTTGGAAGGAAGCAGCGTTTGAGACCAGAATATGTTTATCTTGCAAGAGAGCCAAGAAAGGAGAAGGCTGCAGTGCTCAGGCAGCAGTGCAGGGCTCCAGGGACGAGAGGAGAACCAGAAAATGTTTTCCATTTGCTGGCTTTGTACCTGAGTGACTGATGGGCTGGGACTAAGATCACTGCCATCACTTTGGTTCTCGTTCAGTGCTGGTAGCCCTGTGAACTAACCATGAGATCTAATCCGTCCTACTCTGCAGATTGAAGGAGACCTTCCCGGTGAAGCTCACATACTTGGCCTCCTCACCCTCTCATTTTTCATTCACTTAAAAACTGCAGCTGGGTCATGACTTGTTTTTATGGTACTTACTTTGGCTGCAGCAACTTGATCACTGTAGGGGGGTTTTTAAATTCTTGCCCTGTACTGTTTTTTTTTTTTTTTTTTTTGACAGCTTTGGTGTTAAAGCTTTGTTCTATGCAGAGAAAAAGCCCAGGCTTCATCTGTGTGTATAGCCCTATATGATATTTACACTGGCAAATATACTCTGCACTTTTGCTGTGAAAGCAAATACCCTGTGCATTAGTCATATCTGTGCAGAGCCTTGAGCCAAAAACGCTAAAACGATCTGTAAAACAAAAACGACTTTTAAGAAAACCAGTAAATATCAAATTGTCATTGCCTTGCATACATTTAATCCCCAGAAGAGCCAATGTTTGAAGCTGTATCATGATTTCGCGTTTTAATTTGAAAGTGATGCCAGCAGCTTGGGTCAGGCACTAGAAGGGAGGAACTGGAGCTGCTCATGGGCACAGGCAGCAGCAGCTGGTGACAGCACTAATGAGCTCAAGCAGTGCTCTGAGTGAGTTTGTTTAGATTAAGGCTGCTCATCTATATCTGGTGATGAAACCTGTTAAATTCTCTACAAATCTGCCAGCAGAAATAGCTGAATTCATGAATAGAAGGGAGCAATGGCATTTCACCCCTTTTCATCAGCAAGATGCTGGGTATTTATCAATATCTACTCCTGTATCGTGCCTGGTGTTATCCCAGTACTATTTACAGTGGCTTGTTTCCAAATAAGGAAACTTACTGAGACGGCCCCTTACAAAGAAGAGTAAATGAGAAGGACAGTAGGGAGTTTGTATTCTCTCTTTCTCCTTCTGAAGAACTGGAGTTGGAAAACTGGCCTCAAGCTGCACTGACTTTTCCACTGGTTTTCTCATGCGTGGGTTGGAAGAAGACTTAGCTTAAGGGTAACAGGAATATGCACCTCTTCCCTACGGCCCTTCCATGGCCTTATGTAATCCCTTGTGTGTCCGAGCAGTGCTGGGGACTGTGGTGCTTGCAGGCACCTCCTGGCAGCTGCTTTGCTTCCTTGTTTGCCAGCTGCAGGAGTGTTTGCCCCAAGTCACCCCGTGTTTATTGCCAGCTGCCAGACATGGCCAGTGGATTTGTGCAGGAGCCTCTGGAAAACTCTCTTATTTCCAGGTCATTTACAACTATCTCTACCCAGTCTACTTCTACCCCAGGAGTTACCCAACATATATAAGAGCTGTTATTTATGTATCCATTTCTTAGGTCCTTATGGTGTCTCAAGAAAGGATAGACTAGATTCTTCTTCATTCAGCTTAGAGGTGGATGATACCACTCTTAAGAACTGGAAATAGGAATGATGTTTTTTATTGAAGTAGAAATTCTATTTTTCCTGCTTCTGACAAGGCAGAGAGGCCACCACTGCAAGTCTTTAGGGACTCCTAGGCTGGCTCTGCTCACTGCTTTCAGATAGCAACTCATACAAACTTTTATCTTCTTTAATTCCAGAGGCCCATGAGCCGAAAGGTAGAACTAATTCATGATATTCCACATTTTTGGCTCACTTAAAAATGTTGTGTATGTGTATATTCATTGTTTTCCACGTTTGCCTCACTCATATATAGATATTCATGACTCTCCACTGTGTATTTATGTATATTTATATATGTATACTATATATTTGTTTTTAGATGAGGCAAAAATGTGGAAAATCACTGTGTGTGTGTATCTATGTTCCTATATATGTACCTCTTAGTTCCTCTCTTGCACTGTTGCTTAGCATGCAGATGGCGTGTGATGGTGTGGGTCAGATGGTGTCAGTGCCTTGCTTGTGCTGAGGGGCACTTGGTAGCAAGAACAACCTGCCCTTGGTACTTTCTGGAGCAAGGGGCTCTCTTGTCTCTCTGCCTCAGTGCAAGAGCTGTGCAAATATCAGGAGCAAAACAAGCAGCAAGATTCTGGCCCTTGCCCATCTAGTTATACTGCAGTTGCAAGCAGTGTCATCGTGTGTGCTGGTATGCTCAATCAGAAGAAACTGAGATTTTTTGTCTTGGCTTGAACCTCATAAAACTCTGCACAAGAGTGTCAAAAACTCCCACTGGCGCTTCATAAACATAGTATATTGTCATTTGGCAGGTCTCCTGCACAGTATGTTAAGACTGTCTTGAGATATCAGTTTCTGGCATGGAAAAGCTACACGGATGCAAGCCAAAGCCCTGGAAGAGGGAAGGTTGTGTGCCAGAACTGATCAGCCTCTGCTGGCACATGCACATGGCACAGATATGGTTTAAGTAGGTCTCTAACATGAGATGGGGGCTTCTAAAACCTCCAGCCCTCACAAATGCCGAGGAGTTGTTTAATTCTTTTACCTTTAAGTGAGCTTCTGTCATCTACTTGCCATGTGTAGTTTTTATGCATATGCATAAATATATTTAAGAATGAAAAATCCTTATTCATTTGTGGCTCTCACTCTATGCAAAACATAACATGCTTTATTTTTGACACATGTAACTGATTCCTGTCAATCACCATGAACACCATATAAACCTCTTGGAAGAGAGAATGTGTTTTGCAGCAGAGCTCAGTAAACAAATAAGGGCGGCTGTGCACTCCTAACTACATCTTAGTGGTCTAAAGAAAATACCAATTGCTGGAACCTTAAAAGTATAGGGGGGTTGTTGGTTACCATGGCGACAGCTCAATAGTTGCCTTGTAGCATCCAGGACTAATTACAGCCTGGAATTGCTGGGAAGACAGGAGTCTCCATAACGACTTAGGCACGTGCTCCGTGACCGCTGTTCCGAGGGCCACTAATGCAATGTGCTAAGGAAGCTGTCTTGTAAAAACAGCTGAGACTTATTGGACATCCTAAGATTCTTGATAATGGATAGCTTTAATATGCCAATTAACTGCATGCATAGTTTTAATATGTCTATTAATGGGTGTTGTATAGGGCTGCATGCAGTTCTGTGTCTGCCGAAAATAACAGCCTGTGGGCATGGCAGAGTTACACAGGTAAGCAGATAAAGTTATGTGATGCTCCTTGGGTCAGCAGCACTGCACAGTTTTCATTTGTGCTCCATGAAATACGTCTGCAGTCTCAGCAGGCGTTAATGGAATGAGCACAAGGAGATGCCCTGAACAAGCTTGTTTCCCCTCTATCCTGATGTCCATTTTAAAATGGGTATTCTCTTTATCATCCTGAGCATAAACATATTTGTGGAATTGCTGGCTTAGAGTGTGGCTTGTCAAGGTGCTTTTTCACCCTTGCCCTTGACAAGCCACCTCTATTTTTGTATATTGGGTATTAGAGAATTACAATTTTAAAATAGATTTGCTCGATTTTCAAACTGCAAGGAAAGCATGTTCATTTGATCCTCTGCATAACAGATTTCTACTCTTTCTGTGTTTTTATGTAGCCTTCTGGAGTTCTTTGTATATGGAGAACTGAGGCTGAGAAGTCAATTTTAAGTGTGACAAGGAGAAGACAAGAGAATGATGGCTCGTTTAGAAATTGTTTTTATGCTTAATGTCCGATGTAAATGCCAAATCATATAGGAGAGCCGTGTGTGCTACCTCACAAACTATTGCAAACTATTCCATGCTTTGGATTCCAAAAACAACCAAAACCAGCTGCATTCTGCTCCCTGCTAGTTCCCTGTTCCCAGGAAATAATCCTTTTTGCAGAGGTTCCCATCTCCTTTCTCAGGTAATGACAGACCAAAGAGTTTGTAGTCACTTCTGTCCCTGTTTCCTCATCCATTAGAAGCCCCCAGACAGCTGAAACCCACAGAGTTATTTCTGTGCCCTTTTGACATTGCTCATAAAAGGAATTACTCAAAATGGATTAATGATATTAACATTTGTAAAGTACCACATTTTTAAGGTCTCTGTTGGAATATTCTGACCTTTTGTAACAGTGAATGGTTAGAAAGCTTTGGACAAGATTTTGTTTTTGAATGGAAAATTAAAAGCTTAACTAATAACAGTCTTTCTTGCAGTCCTTAGTATAATAATAATATTACTAATACTAATAGCATGTCGATTTCTTTCCATTGCATCATTACTGAAGCAGCATAAACACCAGAAAGTGGCAAGGCAGAGACTGTGGTTCTGTTATTGTTGGGTTGTATGGAAAAGGATCAGCAGAGAGACATAGTTATCTGGTCTGGGAATTGTTTGTTTATGGAGTAGGTTTTCCCAAAGGAGCCATGAGATGGGAAATACAATAGGAAATGGACTTCATACATGCACAAAAATACCCAAACTGTTAAGTGTCATGCAAGAGAGCTTGATGGAAACTTGCTATTTTTGCTAGCAGATGTTTCAAAAATACTTAGTTACACATCCCCAAGTTTCCTATGCTATTTTTGATGCCAGCAATATCCCCCACAGGGTATCGAGTTTGAGACATGATAGAAAAGGATTTTGCATCTGATTCGGTTGACTAGAAATATAAAGACCTTAGGTGTTTTTACAGGTAGTAACGTGGGGGAGGAAACAAATTGTGTTGGTTTTTTGCAACTAAAATATTCCCGCTAAATTAGATGTGTTTCCTGGTTCTAGCAGTACTGACGCTAGGACCACAGCGCATCTCGGTCACTTAAGGCAGTTGCAGAGGTGACTTGGGAGCACGAAGCTGTGAGGATGGTCACCTACACGGTGTGGGTGTGAGGATTTGTGGCTGTAGCAGGGGACAGCCCTGTGCCTTTCACCACAGTGAGCTAGTAGTGGCAACAGGTATTTCTGGGCCGGGTTGAAGAAGTCAGCAGTGGGAGCATAGGTCCCATGCTGTGCCTTGGAGGAGATCACACGCAGCATTTCCTGGTGTTTCTGGTGTGTTTAATGTGACTTAAGGTTGGGGAGTGGGTGGAGAGGAATGTTGGCTGCACTGCACACCTGATAGCTGTTAGTGAGGAGGGATGAGGATGTGCAGCTCATGGAGTCAGGAGGCAACCCGTGGTGGTTTCCAGCTACACAGCAGAGAGCAAGTCCCGTTTGGCTTTAGCATAGGTTCCCCAGGTTGGTCAGGGGATATTTTCTGCTGTCAGTCTTCTGCTTTGTTGTTACCTGGTGTAGGACAATCCCTAAGCACGTGGCCCTGGATTTTGTGTCAGGCTGACCTTTGAAAAGCCATTGAGTTCTCGAGGTGCATGAAAACACGTGGATTGTAACATATCTGCCTTTTGTCCCTGATTTTTGCCTTAGCTGCCTCACTGGTGAAGCCTTTCCAGAAGTTGTTCCTTGAGCTGTTGTTCTCTTGCACTTCACAGAATCACAGCACAGTTGAGTTTGGAAGGGACCTCTAGAGATCTAGCCAGGGCTTTGTCACCGTCACAGTGAAGAAGTTTTTCAGGAGAGAACTTCAGGAGAGAACAAGCTGAAAATGATTGAAACTGTTAGATTTGGACTGTGCTCAGAACTTGGAAACAGCATTCATAGCATAGTTAAGTGCTGAAGTACCATCAGCCACTGAGCAACCTGCCCTTTAGTATTGTCTTCCACCACAGCACTGACATAGTCACCAAGTCAATTTGCCTGTTCTTCACAGGCTGAAACTGCCAAGAACTTCATGCCCTGCTTGTTGGAACCAGCTTTTTATTTTTTAACCTGGATGTCATCTGTCACCTCATGGCCTCCCTGCGACACGATGGGCATTTCCTTACCTCATGCCTCTTTCAAAAGGTGCTGGTGCTCCCAGGTGGTTGTCCCAGCAGGCCCAGGCTGCTTCCCGCCATGTCTGGCTGCTGGCCCAGCCCCACCAGTAGGTGGCATGAGGGGGACAGGCGGCCACAGGCAGGCGCTGAGCTCGGGCCTTCCCCAGGAGGCCAGAACTGCCCCCCAAACTGGCCGGGCCTCTAAACCCCCACGCACGGCATGAGAAATACTGTTTTCATACCAGGCTCCTCTGTCTCTCTACAGTAATCGCTATTTCATAATCTTACAAGGGTTACACGAGGTGAAGACTAGCTGCTAATGCCAAAGGGCCAGCTCTTGGCAAGCGTAGGAGAAGATGAATTTTATGGCACTGTTTTACATCAACAGAGCAATAGGGGAGCTGGCCGCTCCCCCACGCTGAAAAAGAGTACATTTAAAATCCGAAGAAATAGTTCTTTAATGTAGTATAGTGTGTTACTGACCAGGAAAATCAGGGTGTCAGATGTAAGAAGTACTAGGAAAAGTGCCTGAGTGAAAGTAGAGGTTTATATGTTATGTGCACTGTTATCTGCACAAAAGGTTTCAGGGGCTGTGTTCCTAGTATTTCAGCAAAAGCAGACATTATATGTAAATTCTTCCAGAATAGGAGTAAGGAGGCTATTAAACTGCATGCCTTGGGGTGTAAGTTTTGTTATCAGTTAAGGCCAAGATGCAGATTTTTCCTTCTCTCTGATGTGCACCTGGATTGCAGACTGTCTGCAATATGGGAGGACCTCAAATGCTCCTGATGTCTCTGGCACCAGCCAGTGCTTGAGTGAAAAACCGCTCTTGTCCATCCCAACAAAACAGTGGCTGTGAAATGCTTCACTGCTGTGGGTGCTGTTGTTCAATGAATGCTTATTCCACTGTACAAATATTTAATAGTTCATAAAATAAGAGCAACAGGGTGAATTGCCTGGCCCTGCCAACTTGTGAGCTCAGAGGAGAGACTAAATGTCAGTATAAACTTAAAGCTTTGGTAGTAATGGGGCAGAGTTTGAGGAACAGCGACTCCTTGAGCGGCTGAAATGACAGAGATGGTAGTGCCAAGAGCTCCTTGCTGAACACTGCAAGAGAGCAATGTGTGAAGCAGTTGTGGGAGGTGGGAAGCTTTGGGAACCTAAGTTTGATATAACCTTGAAATACAAAGTTACTTCACCTTTTGGTCAAGACTAGATGAATCATCAGTCTTGTCACAGCAGGAATGGGGGAAAAAAACACTTCCTGACAGAGTCAAAGTTGGTTGTCCTAATGAAGCCTTCTCTTATTCCTCCTCAAGTGATCTTTACTTTATTTGACAAGATTTCAGCTGCTGAGTCAATTCTGCCCCTCATTTTTTCCAAGTTTCAGCTCAACATATGCTTCTAATCTGGAGTATATATGTGCACCTGTTTGAATCATGATTGATAGAGATTTCCTATCAGCACAGTGTGCCTCAGGGAGAACTTACATGAGTTGGATAAGGCTTTCCCTTTTCCTCTTCAGTGCAGAAGCTGGGTAGCCAGAGAAATGTTTGTGTCTGGATTACATTTACAGTGGTCACATTTAAGAGGAATATTTAAATATGAACTGAAGCATATAAATTGAATAAAAAATTGAATCCGGCAATGTAGCTACAGTACGTTTTGTAGCCTGAAGCTTGGTGGCCCTTCCCCAGCTATCTCATTAGTCATAGGAAGGGGAAATGTATGTTTTGGCTATTATCTCCAGTAGCAGAGAACACATGCTTCTTGTTTTGGCTTTCTCTTTATTATGACAGGACATCTAATATTTGTGTTTGAGTTCAGGTAGGGAGGGTGGAGTGGTTACTTGATGTCCAAAAAGAAATAGCTACCGTAATTTTCAACCAAATCTAGCGTTTCACAAGTGGCAAAATAATTTTCTCTTTTAAAGGTCTCAAGATGTCTTTAGTTGTTTGCAAGAAGACTTAAATGATGTGATTAAATAGTCGGGTTGAAACTCAGCAGTAATGCCTATTAGGTATTTGTATAGTACATACGAATGTATACCGTTTGTTTATACATGTAGGCATGTATTGATATATTTTTGCATCTAGATAGTTGTAGGCCTTTTTGAAGAAAAAAACTCCGTCTGATCATTGTAAATGAGAGCATGTATTTATACTGTATTTATAATAAGAGGAGAGCTGTCTTATGTAAGCTGTTTATTACATTCCAAATATCTTTCTTTGCTTCTCTGTTCTTAACTGTTGTAATGTGGCTATGTGATACAGAACAATTATTGTATCTTTCTCAGTGGTGGAAGTGCAGAACCAAGGAAACTAAGGAATTGCCAAGGATCAGAAGGGCTGCCCATGAGCAGCCCGTGAGCATTGGCTGCCCGTGAGCTTTCCGCTGAAGACTTTGCGTGGCTGAGGGCTGTTAAGCTGGTGTCACATACTTGGAGGAGGTGAGGGCAGAGGGACTTCCAAATTACGATTCAAAAACAAGAGCGAAGGGGCTTTTTGTGCCCCTTCTGCCCCGTGGGATGGGGCTGGGCACACAGCCGGGTGCCTGGCTGACGTGGCAATGAGCAGCCCCAGTATCTGCAGATGGCTCCTTTCTCCCGCAGCTGGCACCGGGGGGTGAATGAGGGGCATACAGTTAAACAAAAAGAGCTCCACCGCCCTTGTCCTATAAGGAATGAAAGAACCATGAAGTTAGCCAACAATTCAGTAGTTCTTTTGGCATTCACGTGATGTTTCAGGTTCTTTAATATGCATTAAAAAGATTAACACCAGCAAAAATTTTATCATATCTTTGGCAATGCATTAATCTGATCGGATTGAGCTCTGAATGACTCTCTGGGAGTTGATATAATCATCTGTTGCTTCAGTTCTGCCCTGGGAGCGCTTGCAGGATCAGGGTCTGGATGTGTGGGTTAACTCATCGGATCCCAGGACAAAAACAGGACAAAAAATCTTCATAAATGTGACTGGAAGTAAATGTTTAGCAAACCCCCAAACTGTTGGGACTATGTATGTTTGTTTGGGCATAGAATTGTGGAGTATTCTGTCCACTAAAATCGTAGTGGAGAGGTTTAAGAAATATGCTTTCTTGTGGCAGTTGAAAAGCTAATATATAGAAACACTCCGCTGTGAGCGGAGCAGTGTGTCGTAGTGTGGTTTAAAGAAATAAAAACTTGAGCACCTGAGCATATTTACTGCTGCTGTTCTGAAGGTGTTTTAGAGGGCAGGCTGCTGATTTTGATTGTGGTTGTCGCTTAGCCCCCTGCCTTTCTTTTTCATACTTTTTCTTTTGTTGTTGTTTTGTATGCCTCATGTAGCTCATTCTA